GGCCCGAGCACTCACGTTTCAAATGTGGTCTCAAGTAGAGCCAGCCACAGCTGCCACTTTCCAGGGGCACAGACCCTCCAGGCTGCTGCAGTGTCACCAGGGACCCCGGGCCTGTGAGGTGTGCACACCAGATTTCCCAGCACCCTGCTCAGCCCCCAGCGCACACCATGCATCTCCTAGACGGCAGGTGCATGGCAAGGAGGTGACCCCAAGTGATGTTGCATCAGAAGGAACACGTCAGGACGCGGGCAGGAGCCTGGGTCTTGGGGCTGGGTGGGAACCCCTGTCCTCCTCAGGTCCCGATGCTACAAGTAACCCCACCCAGACCTCTACGCCAGGGAAACCACGTCTGCCCTCCCGTGCTGTTCGTCCCTCCTGACAGACACGTTTCCAACAGCTTGTTTAGACCTAAAAGGTTAAGAAAGGACAGTGAGCCCTCAGTTACAAACCGTCTGGAGTGAGCCCTTCAGCCCCAGGGAAGGTGAGCAGAGCATGACGAATGCTGTCGACTCTGTCCCGGGACAGGACAGAGCTCCCAAGGGTCACATCTGGATAGAGAGGCGGGGTGGTCCAGGAGCCAGGCCCAGGCTCTTCCAGGTTAGAGCAGGGACACCATGGACGCCAGGGCCGGGTGGTTCTCTGGGGTGGGGCCTTCCCGTGCGCTGAGTGGCGTCCTTGGCCTCCACCCACTACATGCCAGGAGCACCTCCAGTTGTGACAATAACAGATGTCCCTAGATGTGGTCCGGTGCCCTCTGAGGGCAGAGCCCACACAGCAACCAAGGCGTCCCCCAACACAGGGGACAGAGACCCCAGGGAGCGAGGCGTCCACGAGTGCAGGAGCTGAGGGGCGAATGAGCCAGGGATGGGCGATGCCGTAGGCTGCCGCAGAGCTGAGTACAATGTGGACCAAGGAGTGACAACTGCCTCACGCCAGCATCAGGGTCCTCCTGGGTGGGATGCAGCCAGTGCAGACTGGCTGAGCATCTTGAAGGGGAGCTGTCTTCCTGAGTTAGTGAGTTGGAAACACATCTGACCAACATGTGAAACCCATCTCTACTAAAATACAAAGTCTAGCTGCATTGCAGGCGCCTATCAATCCCAGCTACTTGGAGGCTAGCCAGAAAATCACTTAACCAGAAATGAGGTGCAGTTAGCCGAAATTGCCCATTGCACCTCCACCTGGGCGACAAGACAATGCTTCTCTTAAAAAAAAAAAAAAAAAAAGTCTGGTTCCTAGCAAAGTCCTAAATGTTCCTAAGGTATAGGCCCAGTTGCTCCACCCCACCCCCCCCACCTGTACCAGCAACACACATGTCATATGCCTTTGAGTTCTAAAAGTTGGGAAAATTCCCAATGAAAATCTCAGACTTCTGTTCTCTTCCCTGTTTCTTTTTTTTT